CAATAAATAGGGTTTCAATTGTTAGTCATGCAATGTATTCTATCCCTATACTCCTTCCATCAAGCACCCCCAACCTCAACGCACAGCTGCAGATCTGCAGAGCAGAGTTCACTGGTGGCTTGGAACTAGCTGAGGGACCCCACTGGCAGGCAGACATATGTCTATCCTTGCAGGCAGGAGAAGTGGAGAGGGCTTTCTTTTCTTTCTTTTTCATTCTTACCTTAAAGCATCCTTGGTTCGAATTCTTCACTTCAACTCCCCCACTTTGCCGTTGAACTACTTGGTTAAGTCTGCAGGGCCTGTTGACATTGGGTTGTCTACATTAACTGCCAGAGCCACTTTAATCACTGGGATATGATTAAATCTGAAATTGTATTTTTACAATGATTCTTTCCATGTTTTCACATCTTTATGATGTGAATAAATATTTGTTAGACAGTGTCTACAGTGTTCAAGTGCCCAGACAAAAATGGAAGCAGTTGGAACATTAAATCTAAAAATTCCAGATGTGTAGAGATATCTGGATATGTCACTGAAATTTTCAGATTTCATCCAGATGTTTGGTGTTATGGTTGTTGTTTCTACAAAAGTCATACATTTTATGGTACAATATAAATATGGATTATGACATTATATAGATTCAGCTTCCCATTAACCTAATTCACTGTGGCCACCTTAGGAAATATGAGACACTATAGATCATATATAATTTGTTTTCTTCTCTAATGTAAAGCCTAGGAGACCAGATATTATACACATTAAATGCAAATGTGCAAAGTGCCTTGATTCCAATAACACCTCCACTTCCTATACAACTTCCTGCTAATGCTCACCCTGGGAGGCATCAGTTGATAGGCTGAATTACTTGGGTCCCTACCACCAGGTGGGAGACCCAGGTGGAGTTCTTGGCTCTTGACTATGGTATGGCCCACTCCTGGCCTCCTGTGGTTATGGGGAGTGAACCAAGAGATGGAAGATAATCTCTTTCACTCTCACTGTCTCATTCTGCCTTTCAAATGAATAAAACAAATAATTTTTAAAATTAAATGGTAAAATGTCATATGATGAGAAAGAAAATGAATGGACATACTTTCTTTTAATACAAAGTCGTATTCCTAAAATCCCGTACCTTCTTAGAATTTTCTCACGTGAAATTGCACATGACAGATGGATGCTGGTATTACAGAATTACTGTACCTCCTCTCCTAGAGAAGAACATAAAGCATGGATTTCAATAACTCTATTCCTCCCATTTTTTGTTTCCTGTCAAGATTATTTTGCATGAACATTTCAGTCTTGTGACAGTGATTATGATGATGACTTACATGTGTTTTTTTTTTTTTTCCCCCATCTGGAATGGTCAATGGAGAAACTATCCTATGGAGAATCTTGAAAGCCTCATTATTCCCAATATCACAAATATGAAAATTGAGACAGAGAAAAGTGTGGTTTTCCCAAATTCACACAAAAACTCAGAAGTGAAGCAAGAGTAGTACCCAGCTCATGTGCAACAGATCTAATGCAACCTGCACTGTCAAGCTCACACTGGTGATTAGGACTTGAGTAGTGTAATTACCTAAAGTACAGGGCAGGAAAATAGGCACCCATTACCAACCAGTCACAGCAAGTGGAGGAATTACGTGAAATGAGAGTCACCATATGGATGGTGCTCACTGCATTTCACAATCCTGTACTTTATCTTTCTTATCCTGAATGCTCTAAAAACAGGAGTTTGAGATAGAATTCAAATAAAAAACCAAACCCTCAATTCTGGAGCAAGATAAAGACGTAGGTGTTTAAATCCTGGCTTTAGATTAAATCCTGGGGTTAGAGTTTCCATCTGTGTCATGTTCATGTAAACTTTACCTCAATTGTCTCATTCATAACATAGAAATAATGTTTCACAACATGAGGGAGGAAAGTGTATTAGAAATAAAGCACATGTAGCACATATGCTGTAACATGATGCATGTCGGATCCCTTATGATTAGTAAGCAGTATAATAATGTCAGTTCTCATCAAATATTTTTAATCTTTATTTTATATTGAAAGGCAGAGAGTTACAGAGAGGCAGAGGCAGAGAGAGAGAGACGGAAGAGAGAGAGAAGAGAGAGAGAAGGGGGGAATGGAGAGAGAGAGAGAGAGAGGTCTTCCATCCAGCTATTTCACTCCCCAAATGGCAGCAATGGCCATAAGCTGAGCCAATCTGAAGCCAGGAGTCTGGATTCTTCTTCTGGGTCTCCCACATGGGTGCAGGGCCCAACAACTTGGGCCATCTTCCTCTGCTTTCTCAGGCCATAGCAGAGAGCTGAATTGTAAGTGGAGTGACCAGGACTTGAACTGGCACCCATTTGTGATATTGGCACTTCAGGTGCAGCTTTACATGCTATGCCATAGTGCTGACCCTCACCACTGAACTTTAAATCAAATTTTTACTATATTGTATTATTTTTGATCAATGGACTAGTGTATAGATAGGTAATAAATGAGACATGATGTTAATTGAACCCAGCAGTGAAAGCAGTGACAATCCCTAGTTAAGAATCATCTCAATTTCAGTATTTAATTGTGTAAATGTCTAAGGAATTTATACTTTTATGAATCATGTGATTTGAAGGTTACAGACATAAATATTTCTTTGGAAATTTGAGTTATTTCTCATCACATTCCCATTGTAACTGTGTATTCACAGAAATTGAGATTATTTCAAATATGAAAATGCAGAACATTCAAATATATTTGGTGTAAAGAATGAAATATATTTGGTGGGTGAAACAGACCTGTCCCTATCAGATACAAAGATCTGGTATAAAATTACAGCAAGAATGAAAATATTATGTTCTCACAGGTAAAAACTGACCCAGGGACAGAACAGAGTAGAGCAGAAAGCTGTGCATAGGAGGGGCCTTGAAAAGCTCATGGATGGGGCCAGTGCTGTTGTGCAGGGCATTGAGCCTCTGTTTGTAACACCAGCATGCCATGTGGAGCACCATTCTGAGTTCTGGCTGCTCTGCTTCAGATTCAACTCCCTTCTAATGCACCTGGGAGAGCAGCAGACAATGCCCTGAGTACTTACTCCCTGCCACCCACATGGGAGACCCAGACGTGGTTGTGGGCTCATCTCACTGGGGGAGTGAACCAACAGATGGAAGATTTTTCTCTTTCTCTGTTTCTCTCTCTGTCTCCATTAGCATAACTTTCAAATAAATAAAATAAATCTTGAAAAAAAAACCCTCAGAAACCTCTTGAAACACAAGAAGTTATCATTTAATTCCATTTTCTGTGAGCTTTTTGAAGCCACTTTCTACATGGAAGCTTTACTGATGATGGAATTGAAACAGTGATCACTGAGAAAATGGTGACTTTCATAAAAAGCTACCTAGAACAACTTGTTCTTTTTAAATATTTATTTATTTATTTGAGTTACACAGAGAGAGGGGAGGCAGAGAGAGAGAGAGAGAGAGAGAGAGCTCTTCCATCCACTGGTTCACTTCCCAGTTGGCTGCAATGGCTGGAGCTGCACTGATTTGAATCCAGGAGCCAGGAGCCAGGAGCTTCTTCCCAATCTTCTCCATGGGTACAGGGGCCCAAAGACTTGGGCCATCTTCTACTGCTTTTGCAGGCCACAGCAGAGAGCTGGAATTCAGAAGTGAAGCAGCCAGGTCTCGAACTGGCACCATATGGGATGCTGGTACTTCAGGCCAGGGCGTTAACCCACTGCACCACAGCACTGGCCCCAAGAATAACTTGTTATTCACACAGAATAAATGGAAGCATTTGCTTTCCTCTGTATACTAAAATCAATACTTCCTGGTTTGACAGGTTCAATTTGAAATGCAAACCTTAAACTCTTTGAAAATGTAGAATACATTTGTGGCCTCAGCAGAGAGTATCCTTCAATAGCTCTAACCATTAAAGAAACAGTGTGTAAATATAAATACATTAAGAGCTTCTGATCATCAACAAATACTCCAAGAAAAGGGGAGGGCACAAAAACAGAGAAGATAGTAGCTTCCTATACAACTGAAGGTATTAAATTAGGACTCAGGCATTTTAAAGTCCATAAAGAGCAAGATTAATTTTAAAAAGAATTCATACCAGATACAGGGAGGTATTTCATAGAAGCACTACAGTGGGCCATTATTTTTTAAAAAAAGAACGTTAATTTATCTATGAGAAATGAGAGAGAGAGGCCTTCCATACACTGGCTCACTCCCCAAATGGCAGCACTTTCCAGGCGCAGCAACAGGGAGTGAATTGGACACAGAGCAGCCAGGACTCCTGGTGCTACAACATGGGACATGGGCACCAACTCTGGATCCTAACTCTTCAAAGATACTTGACTCCATTAGAAAACAGGAAAGGCAAAATAAAAGCACAGTAAGATAACATTTATTGTCATTGTGTTGTAAAAAAAAAAAGTTGAACCTGGTAAATCCAAATGCCGGCAAAGATTTGGGTGAACTTGAACCTTTATGCCCTGGAATGAATAAGAAAACTAAACTGATACAACCTTGGGAAACATTTTTTTTTTTTCACATTAGTGTGTTAAGATGAACATTCACATAACATTCAACCTATTGAAGCTCCTGGCTACGTATCCACATAGGTTCCATCACAGGTTTATCATGCAAGAGCAGAACCAAATACCTTGGAGACATCTTGAATGATAAGCCCTTTCTTGTCTACTTCTCTTTATTATTGTGATTTTTAATTTTTAAATCCACAAAGCAAAAACTGGGAGGTAATACTACAATGAATTCCCTTTGTTGTTAAATATGAAAGGTAATCATTTGTGTGCATCTTCTGAATGTTTATAAGTTATTATCACAAACATGCAACCTGATTAAACTCAGGGTGGGATTATTTTTATATTTACCCTCTTCCATGGTGTCTTCGTGTAAACCTTGAGAATCTGGTTCTCCTAGGCAGACCAAAAGGAGAAAGCACTTGAATTTAATGTTCTGTTTTGCTTTGTGTGTTTCCTTTCTTTGTCCAAGGTGAAAGTGTGGTTCCAGAACAGGCGGATGAAGAGGAAGAGGGTAAAATTGGGCCAGCCGGGCACTGCTGCCTGAGAAAAGGAACTGGTGAACGTGAAGAAAGGAACCCTGCTCCCTTCAGAGCTGTCAGGGATTGGTGCGGCCACGCTCCAGCAAACAGGGGACTCTCTGGACAATGAAGACAGCCACAACAGCGACCACAGCTCCGAGCATGCACACTTATGATCCACACAGACAGGACCAGCTCCATCCTCAGGAAAGAAGCACCGTGATGGCAAGCCTTACCCAACAGAGTTTACACAGAGAGATGGCCATGGCCATGATTTTTAATATTATCAAATTCAGGCATCATGGGTCTGTTTTGCATGATTTATAGAGGAAGGAAGTGTCACTTATCAAAGATGTTTCCATGATGAAAATCAGAAGGTGAATTTGCTTTGAATAGTCCAGAGATGTTTAGTTGTGTGTATGACAGTGAGCAGGTATGTTTGCCTTTGCTTGCACTGAAAAATTAAATGGGTACTAAGAACAAATTATGACACATTTCTACACGAGATGCCTCCAGAATGAAAACGTTGAAGATGAACTTACTTTACCCTCTCAGATGTACGAGTTCATGTTTATGACAGTGGGCAGGTATTTGCTTTTGCTTGTACTGAGAAATTGCTATCAAGAATAAAACATAAAACCTTTTATCCTGAACAGCCAAAGTGCCTGAGATCATTTAAGTAGATTTTAAAAAGGATGTAGTTTAACTCTGTATATATTATCCTTAAGTCATTTTCCTGTCTTCACTAATTTTAGCAATTCATTCATATTAGCTGATGAAAATAGGCACTGATAATGCCAGCCAGGCCAGCTTCCTGCCTTTTTATGCATGTGTCATTCTGCGAAATCCGTATGCACTTACTTGTGTACAAGTAGAGAAAAATACAGTAGTCTAATACGACATATTCTTGTACCACAGACAAAACAAACGTTATGTTGAATTTACTATCACTGCTGCTAATACATTATTATACAACTTACCTAGCTCCTCCTTGATTTATCCTATCTTGTAGCTTGAAAAAAAATAGGATCATAGGCAAATCAGTTACTTTGTGGAAAGAGCTTTGTTGTGGCAGACACTGTGATTTTATTTCTATAAAATTAAAGTTGTTATGAATATGACTTAATTAACAAGAAAATGTTTCTTCCTTCTTAGAAATGGTGTCAGACAAGGAGCAAAGCCAAATGGGCTCCCCAAGGGGATAGACAAAACAATTCTGAATGTCTTCAAATTAAATTCAGTAAAAACACATTATTTTTTAATATGTGATGTATTCTTGCAGAACAACCATCTTTGTATTTTGTGAAAAATGTTTAATAAATGATCCTTTATAAATAATTTTGGTCTCCCCATTGTAATTTCTTTAATTTCTATAGATTTTAATATTCATATCTAAGAGCGCCCCAGACTCATCTGCTCTGTACTAATTCAGATCAAGATCATTAATGAATCACAGGTTTTCATTTGTAGATTTATTATGTCAAGAAAAAAATCAATCCTTGGGTGATCAAAGAGAATCTAAACATCATCATACAGTAAACCATTTTCTTAATTTGAAGAATATGGCAAATGAATGTTTTTGTGTGTTTTACAAAGCAAAGATAAAAGGGAACAGGTAACACTAACTGCCACAACTAATAAGTAAAGTAGTCATATATTTTAAAATTTATGTTTAACATATGTGAATCAATCCAATAGTTGTTTTAAAGTCACATCAACCAGAGTCCTTGATGTTACCATGAGCTAGCCAATCAGAATCTTCATTGGAATGGACACCACAGGTATCAGAAGTCAACAACTATAGGCCGGCGCTGTGGCTCAATAGGCTAATCCTCCACCTGCAGTGCCGGCACACAGGGTTCTAGTCCCAGTCAGGGTGCCAGCTCTGTCCTGGTTGCTCCTCTTCCTGTTCAGCTCTCTGCTATGGCCCAGGAAGGCAGTGGAGGATGGTCCAAGTGCTTGGGCCCTGCACCCACCCAGGAGACCAGGAGAAGCACCTGGATCCCGGCTACTGTGGGGGTGAACCAATGGAAAAAGGAAGACCTTTCTCTCTGTCTCTCTCTCTCTCACTGTCCACTCTGCCTGTTAAAAAAAAAGTCAAGGATTGTATTAACTTAATACATTTCATGTCATGTATGGTTGCACATGCATTGGATACCTAAGACCTACTTACAGTTATATGATGTTATTTTTTAACTGTTCCACATTTAACCAGAAGAATTTGGAAACATTACCATCATTCCTTCTTCCTCCATAGAAATAAACAGAAAACTAATTCATAAACATTTCCAAATTACTCATAATTCGATTTTGTTTCATAATGATTAGATTGACAAAATATATTGATTCTATTCTTAGTCTAGCAAGACATATATGAGTATTCAAGAAATAAAGTAAATTATATTTTTGTATCATATTTTCTCTTTGTGAAATACATTTTATCACACTGGTAAACAATATATCTAATTTAATTTTGGGGAGATCCTGTTCAAATTGAAGGTACAAAACATACTTCTCTATCACTTGAAGGAATAAAAATTATGTTTGTATTGAAGATATCTATTTCTTTTTGTAGAATAACTCTGCCTCTCAAAGAAAATAAATCTTAAAAAACAATTCTATAAAACTATTCAGTTAACATTTGAGGTAAGTGATACTTAGGTGAAAATATGATGTTTGCAATATAAATACAAACAATTGGCATAGTTATTATTTGAACCATCTGGGGAACAGTGTATTTTGCTGTCAGTTCCTTATGCTGCATTCTGTTTGTAAAAAGCAATTCAGAAATTGAAAGAAATCCACTGAGAATTTAGCATGAGAGCGGTAGTCTAAACATTCCAAACCTGAAAACGTTTGAAGTCTGCAGAACTGATTTGCAAATGCTCTTGAGAAAGTGGTGTTTGTTGTGGTGGTTGTGGTTGTTTCCTGATTTCTTACCTAAAACTGGCCAGGAAAATTGAGTAATAATTCTCTCACGTGTACCTCAATGTACAACTTTTGCCAAATAATGCTAAAAGGAGTGGACAAAGGAACAAATGTGGTCCCAGAAAAAATAGATTGCTACATCAAGTTTTGAGAACCTATAAAAATTTCAATAAGAATTTTTGAAATAAATCTAATAATTCTCTATTACCATGTGTTTTCTCAATAATCTCATTTTGACATTTGATATGCTTAAAGATATAGATACATTTAAAAATTGAATCGGGGTGGAGCCAAGATGGCGGAATAGTGAGGGTGCACAGCGATAGTCTGGGAAAATTTAGTTTAATAAAAGTGGAGTTACGATAGCCTCAGAAAAAGGACCAGAAAAAAATTGCAGAGGAAACTCTTCTGGATCTAGTGGATGTGACTCGGAGGACCTACTGGGAGAACAAGGTCGCCCACTGTACGGAAGCCGAGCCGCGGGAGCCGCAGGGTCTGCGCGCCAGTGCAGAAAGGGGAGTGCATGTCACACAGACACCAGCAGGGATAGTTGGGACACCCAGGGCTCTGAGTCCACACATCGGCGCTGGAAGGGGAGGTGAGCTCAATAACCCAAGACATTGGCAGGGAAACGGCAGTCAGAATCTAGAGGGGAGTGGGAAAGTGCACCGGACGCACTGACCGAGAGAAAGAAAAAAAGGTGGGGGGTTTCTCTCTGCAAGGCTTGCAAGAGTTTGCAAGAGTGTGCAAGAGACAAAGAGCAGGCCCCCACTCTCGATTTACATAACAACAGGGGATGTATAATTTGGGACATGCTCAAGCTGACTTGCCCCAATAGGTAGAGTTAGAAACATACCAGGGGATTCCAATTCAATCCCATCAAGGTGGCATGTACCAATGCCATCTCACTAGTCCAAGTGATCAATTTCAGTTCACAATTGATCATAATGAAAGGACTAAGAGTCAAAGGGAGCACATAAACAAGTCTAGTACCTGCTAACACTAACCGATAGAATAAATAAAGGGGAGTGTGATCCAACATGGGAAGCGAGATACTCAGCAGACTCATAGAATGGCGGATGTCCTAAATAGCACTCTGGCCTCAGAATCAGCCCTAAAGGCATTCGGATCTGGCTGAAAAGCCCATGAGAGTATTTCAGGCATGGAAAGCCAAGACACTCTGGCAAAAAGATCTCTGCGAGTGAGATCCCAGTGGAAAGAACAGGTCTTCAAAGAAGGAGGTACCTTTCTCTGAAGGGAGGAGAGAACCTCCACTTTGACTATGACCTTGTCTAAACAAGATAAGAGTCGGAGAACTCAAGGGGCTTCCATAGCCTTGGAAACTCATGACTGGCGCATAGGGAGATTACTGATGCCATAGACAGGAGTGTCAATTTGTAAAGTCAACAACAGGAGTCATGGTGCACTTACTCCTCATGTAGGATCTCTGTCCTTCATGTGCTGTGCATTGAGGCTTAATGCTATAACGAGTACTCAAACAGTATATTTCACTTTGTGTTTTTATGGGGGTGCAAACGGTTGAAAACTTTACTTAATGTATACTAAACTGATCTTCTGTAAAAAAAAAAGAAAAAAGAAAAAAGAAATTATCAATTCCCAACTTGACTCTCACTGGGATTAAACATGACAATAGGTCTGATCTGATTGCATCATCATTTAAAAAAATCATCTATTATTTTTCACTTTATGTTTCTGTGTGGGAGCAAACTGTTGAAATCCTTACTTAATGTATACTAAGCTGATCTTCTGTATATTAAGATAATCAAAAATGAATCTTGATGTGAATGGAAGGGGAGAGGGAGTGGGAAAGGGGAGGGTTGTGGGTGGGAGGGACCGTATGGGGGGGGGGAAGCCATTGTAATCCATAAGTCGTACTTTGGAAATTTATATTCATTAAATAAAAGATTAAAAAAAATAACAACAGGGGAGAGCTAAGGAACTGAGTCACTACAATTCAGTAGCCTAGGCAACCCTGTGGGAGTCCAGAGGAGAAACAGAGCCTGCAGAGACTCTTTGGGTAGAGCCAGAGACTGGAAGCTAAATACCATCAATTCTGCACAGCCGTGCCCTGTGGTGTTACTTACCCCCTGAATAAATAAAATAAATAAATAAATAAATAAATAAAAAGAGAGAGATTTACGACGCATAACCAGAGGGTGTCACCTTTGCACACCCATAACCCAGAAGAACCAAGCAGATCTCTCAGGCCACACCCATCTCAAGCCTCCAAGTCTCCTCCAACAGCAGGCAGTCCACTTAACACAGACATAGTATAAAATAAAAAAAATTAAAAAAAAAAACGCACAGTGACGAAAGAATTAACTATGCCAAGCAACAAACACAGAAATCGAGGGAACAAGATCAACGATGACACTACGATGCCTCCAAATAAACAAAACACCCCAAGCCAAGATTATGAAGATGATGAAATAGAAGAAATGCAAGATACGGATTTCAAAAAATTTATGATAAGAACATTTAGAAGTTTTCAAAAGCAAATCCTTGAACTACAGAAATCCTTAATGGACAGGATTGAAAATCTCTCTCATGAAAATGAAATTTTAAGGAAGAATCAAAATGAAACGCAGAAACTAGTAGAGCAGGAAAGTGTGATAGTGAAGAGAAATCAAAATGAAATGAAGAGCTCAATAGATCAAATGACAAACCCATTAGAAAGCATTAAAAACAGAATGGGTGAAGCAGAAGAGAGAATACGGGACTTAGAAGATAGAGCACAGGAAAACATACAGTCAAACCAAAGAAAACAAGAGGAAATTAGAAATCTAAAAAATATTCTTGGGAATCTACAGGATACTATTAAAAAAAACAACATTTGAGTTCTAGGAGTTCCTGAAGGCATGGAGAAAGAGAAAGGATTAGAAGGCCTTTTTAGTGAGATACTAGCAGAGAACTTTCCAGGTTTCGAGAAGGACAGAGACATCCTAGTACAGGAAGCTCATAGAACCCCCAATAAACATGACCAAAAGAGATCCTCACTACGACATGTGGTAATTAAACTCACCACAGTGAAACATAAAGAAAAGATCCTAAAATGTGCAAGAGAGAAACATCAGATTACTCTCAGAGGATCTCCAATCAGACTCACAGCAGACTTCTCATCAGAAACACTACAGGCTATGAGGGAATGGCGAGACATAGCACAGGTGCTAAAAGAGAAAAATTGCCAGCCCAGAATATTATATCCTGCTAAGCTCTCATTTGTGAATGAAGGTGAAATAAAGACCTTTCATAGCAAACAGAAATTGAAAGACTTTGTGGCCACTCGTAGGGCCCTGCAAAAGATACTTAAAGATGTGCTACACTCAGAAACACAGAAACACGGCCATCAATATGAAAGAAGGGAAAGGAAGAAAACCTACCAGTAAAATGAGCATGGGAAGCTCAAAGCATATATTAGAAAATATCTCTGGGAAAATGGCAGGGCAAAGTCACTACATATCAATAGTCACATTAAACATTAATGGTCTTAATTCTTCAGTTAAAAGACACCGATTGGATGATTGGCTCAAAGAACACAACCCAATTATTTGTTGCCTACAAGAAACACAACTCTCTAACAAAGAGGCATGCAGACTGAAAGTGAAAGGCTGGAAAAAGATATTCCATGCCAACAGAAACCAAAAAAAGCAGGTGTAGCCATATTAATATCAGACAAAATAAACTTTAATACAAAAACTGTTAAGAGAGACAAAAAGGGG